CAAATTAAATACTAAAGGTATGTGGCCTCTTATCTCCCATGGACAGTGAAGCTGAAGACCAACCTTTTTTGATGAACACACCCATGACATGCTGATTTGATATTTTGTATAAGAAACAGTCAATGGAACTCAGTGAGGGCTTTTTACTTAACTTTTAGTTTTTTTTCTGTTATTTCTACTTTCTTCTTGGGTTCTTTGTTTTTATGTTAACTTTTGCAAGGCAACAGTGTGGATTGTTTCTGTTGCTATGAGCTCTTTCACAGCGACACATCCTTCTGCGGCAATAAGCAAGTATTATTTTCTTCCTGCTAAACGGGTGAACTTTTACAATTGGCTTCCAGATCCCAAAGTGATACTAAATTGATCATCGCTCTACCATCTGCTTCCAGTGACGATCACGGTTAATTAAGTCATTTGTTTATCTGTATTCATCCATTCACTGCCTGTTCAGTCATTGTTGTCTTTGTTTGTAGAGCACCCCTCTCATTCCCAGAGACGAACAAGAATGATAGCATATTTTATGACAAAACAGTGACACAAACTCTTCTCACTGGCTCATTGCAAATTTAAACCTCCAGAGTTCATATTAAAATGTGTAAGTAGTCTTTCAAGAAAGAGGCTACAAATCCTTGGAAGGTGTTGTAGCCTAGGATATGTTCCATGAGTTGACCACAGAGCCTTTTCTGATTGAACTGAATTCACTATTTTTGATGCTTGTTGTGTAACAGATACATCCCATATTGCGATAAGCACTAGTCTGCCTAACCTGGAAACATGTACGAATTTGTTTCTCTAATAACCAATGATTACCATGAAAATAAATTATAACCTACGAGCTTGAAATTGTTTTTGTTTTCACACACCACACCATACATTGGAAACAGGAAGTTAATTTGCCTTACTGCGTCATCATGTCATCATATGCTGAAAGGACTAAAAAAATGAGAAGTGGCCAACTGTCGGTGCTGAGTCTCACGTACCCAAGGCCCATCTCAATCCACCAATCTTAGCTTTTCTCTGTTCTATGTCCTCCTGGCCGTGGGATTGAGGATCAAAGATCAAGGAGGCTGCCCTTGCCGTGTCCTCTATGAAGCCTTTTCCACACTGATGACACAAAAGAGGCAACACACTATTTTTTATTTCATTTTTCCTTTATTTAACCAGGTGGGTTAATTGAGAGCAAATTCTCATTTACAGTAACGACCTGGCCAAGAGGTAGCCCATAACAGAGAATACAATAAAAGGAATACATCCATAAAAAAACACAATAAAAAGTTTGAAGATAAAACACACTAAAAGCAGGTACAGGACTCAGTAAATAGTTCCTTCACCATATTTTTAAAAGATGATAAAGGTATGAAGAAGCTGAGTTTGAATGTTTTTTTGTGACTGGTTCCAGTCGAGAGCTGCAGAAAACTGAAATGAATAGCGGCCAAAGATAGTGTGGGCTTTGGGGATGAGGAGGTAGATGAGGTTGCTGTTGCGAAGCGAGCGGCTGATGTGACGGGTGATGAGTAGTGAATGTAGATATGCCGGAGTTTGACCTATAAACCATGTCAGGAGCAGGACTTGACAAATGTGTGTATAATATATACGGTATATCTATCACTCTATACAGCTGTAGGTTATAAGGACAGGTGATGCAGCTGTGCCACAAGTCATGTTAAACTGATGTCGCTTTAAAACAACCGCTCCATGGGGGAGGATGTTTCATTTTGTTACAGTCACACCACTCTTTGTTCTTGATCTGGACCTTCACTGTGTTTTGTAAACCAACAGTCACACTGTCAGCTCATTTTTTCATTTGTAGACTGAGCTACTGCACTTCATTTGTCACAAACTTTTATAGTAAGCGCAAATCAAACAGGAAATATCTATATGAAATTTTGGTGTGTGTCTCCCTAAAACTCAGTCCTCTCTCTACCAGGGTCCTGGGACGTTTAAGGGTTATGCATGGTGCTTTAGCTTTCCCTAATACTGCACTGTTCTGAACAGAACACCTGGAATCTGTTGAAGATCCTCTGCCAGTTTTGGGGGTCACACCCCTAATGTTCCTGTTACCACTGGGACCACCCAGCCGTCACCTTCCACATCTGTTCAAGTTGTTCCTTTAGCCCCAGTCATGGACAGACAGAGAACTCAGCAGACGGAATCAGTCCAAAAGTGTTTTTTTTTGTTTGTTTGTTTTTTTTCACAAAGGGCAAAGAACACGGGGTAATACATACAACAGGAAGTGAAGACAAAAACCGCTTCATGCGGGTTTTGTCTTCACTCTTTACAAACGCTTGAAGCAGGTTTTGTCTTTACATACAAGAGGAAGTGAAGACAAAACCCGCATGAAGCGGGAAGGGACAAACACCAACAGGAAGCTTAAACTTAACATCATTTATACAAGAACTAGTGGGAAGTCCCTTGGATACTAGCACTACAAATTAGCAAAGGGAATCGTAATAGAGAACAATTTTCAGATGAACTATGACGAAACAACTGACCAGAACCGAGTAACACAGGGCAAGAAACAGCATCAAGCTACCAGGTCAGCAGTTCTACACAGATTCCAATATTTACATTAGAGCTTCTCTGGATGAATCCTGAGCTCCATAAGTGCTGTCAGGACATCTGCATTATGATAAGCCAGCCGACACTTTAAAAATTGTGTGTTAATTGTTTTATTTGTGCTATGGAACTGAAGATGAACTTTCCAGCAACTCAAAATAACCTAACCTGTAATTCCATTCTCTTGCTCATTTGTACTTGGCACTGCATTAGGGTGTAACCTTCCAGAACTAAGGGTATCCATTTGAAACATTTCTGTTGACTTAAATCATCATAAGCCTTGACCACCCATCCCAAATTAAGAAAACAGGCAAAATTAGTTTGGAAAAACTGGGTTTACAGCAGAATACAAACAGGCTGGATAACTTGCGGATAACTGTGTTCTTACTAAAACAGAAAAAAAAGGTGAACAGCTGTTAGCTTTGCTTAATTTTTGCTAAACTGTCAATGCTGTAAGTTTTGCACAAAACAAAAAATATGTACATTTCGGCCTCCTATAGAAGACACTGAAGTCGTGTTCTTGATAAATTATCTATTTTGTTCTGAGGTTTTTGTGGTATTAGCAAAGTTAAAACACATTTTTTATGCATATTTACACAATACACAGCCCTAAGGCT